CCGGGGAGGCGGCGGCCAGCGGCGCCACCCCCGACACCAACACAAAGCACGAGGGCCCGGGGGAGGCGGCGGCGCTGCGCACGGGCGCCGCTYGGGCAGCGCGGCCGCTCTTCCCCGCGGACGCTCCGGGCTGCCGTTGGGGCCAGGCTGGGCGAGGGGCAGGGCCCGCTCCGGGGCTCCCGGGCAGCCCGCGCGGTACCGAGCGCCGCCCGCACGCGCCGCTCCAGCCACGGCGCAGGCCGCGGCTCCCAGCGCACAGCTGGGGCACAAAGCGCGGTTTAACCGTGCCATCGCTGCCAGCATCCGCACACAACCGCGGCCCGCGCCCGCCACACGCGGCGGCGCTCCGCACGTCCCGCGGGAGGCCCCGCAGCCCGGGCGGGGGGCTGGGAGGTCCCCACGGGCACCCCGGGCAGGTCTGCGCCCCGCGAGCACCCGCAGGCCCTGTGTCCACGAGCCGCKCACCGCAGGGATACGCTCGGGCCCGACCCGACGCACACCCGGGCCTATCGGAACCAGAGGGAACTTCCCCCGCCCGGGGCTCGGCCCGACCACGCACGAGGGAACCGAAATACAAAGAAAAGGCTGGCGCCCGCGGAACCCCGCGCGTTACCTGGGACAGCGCGGAAAGGCCTGGAAGGAAATCAACCTTTGTGTGTCGGAGGGACCCGCGGCAAGGAGCGCGCCCCGCAAAGGCGGCACGCACCGAGCGGCGGCTGCCAGGCTGCCCCGCGCACGGGCCCGCGGCAGCGCACGGAAGCTCCGGTCGCGCCCGTGGGTTCGGAACGCATCGCGCGGGGTGCTCCGCGCCRCACAGCCCCTCCTGCAGCGCGGCCCGGGCACCCTCCTGGGGCCGGCGGGGCCGCTGCCAGCGACGGGGCTTGGGGCGAACTGAAACGGAATAGGGGCCTTGCTGCCGTCTCCCAGCCGCAGCGCGGCAGCCCCCAGGCCCGGTCTCCCCGCGGCCGCTCACGGGCACCGCGCGGCCTCCCCGCACCGGGCCGGGACCGGGGCCAGGCGGGCGGCGCCGCGAGAGGCCGAGGCCGGGCTCCTCTCACCTCCTCGCGCCGCTTCTGCCAGCGGCCGCACGGCGACTCCTCCAGGATCTCGGACTCGTCCTCGCTCTCCTCTTCCTCCTCCTCCTCCTCCGGGGGCGCCGCCGAAGTCACGGGCGGCGACACCGAGGTCATGCCCGGCCCGGACGAGGCGGGCTCGGGCTTGGSGTCGGAGCCGCTGCTCGGCAGCT